AAACTTGTTGAATCTTTACGGGGCAGCCGGGAAAGGTTAGTATTAACGAGTGAGGGATGTAGAGTGATTCGAAATTAAGTGAATATGTTTAAGTAATCAAATGAAATATAAATATTAAGTCTCAACTTATTGCTTATTGAAGGATATATATATTTTATTTTATTTTGACGATAAGAAAGGGTTATTATTGAGAAATCCATTGTAACTGTATATGGATGAAATTGAAGTGGCTTATATTTATGATCGTTTCAGGAGGGGATTTGGACGTGGGAACAGCATACCAGCCCCGTTAGTCCAGTCTATATCTGTGAGTGGAGAATCTATATTTTCAAAAAGAAGATTTTCTTTTTATTTTATAGAAGCATGTTAATTATATGAAATGCTTTATTTTCGAGAAATAGTAAATGAGTATGATTGTTTTGAAATTATCATAAAATAATTGATGTGATTATCTTACTCTAGTGCACTGAGGGGGTATGACCGTGTACTAGAGTCATGTATTTAACTCTTATCCACTGAGGGGCTACGGTCATGGGTAAATGTATCTAATATGCACTGAGGGGCTACAGTCGTGTGTAAGGGTAACTCTTATCCACTGAGAGGCTACGGCCGTGGGTAAAGGTATCCATTATACACTGAGGGGCTACAACCGTGTATAATGATGATTATTTTGTTTCCATCTTATACACTGAGGGGCTACAGCCATGTACAAGATATTGATCAAACGGTTTATGTACATATGATTTATAGCTTTCAGATCATTAGTAGATGTTTACATGGGATATATATTTTGATGTGAATTTTAATTATATAGTGGATTATTAGTCTTCAGCTTACATTTTTCCCGCTTACAGTTCAGTTTGTGGATTTTAGATTATGGTTTTTGATTATTGAATTGTCTAATGTACTTATATATATATTTAAAGGACAATACAACCATCTTTTAAGCAATTCACTCCCTGGGATTATTATCTCATATTTTCCTGAACTTTTCCTTATAGGAGGCTGTTGACTGAGGTGTGGTGGAGATTATTTTGATAGTTTTGCAACCATTGTTACCACCAATTGTAGGTTCTTTTGTTTGAAATTGTGTAATCAACAAGTGAAATATTTGCATCATATTGGAGGAAATTTTTTTGGGTATTTATATACACCAATGATTATGATGTAATATTGTAATCTAAACTGCTTTCTATTATCCTTTTGAGAGGCAATTTTGATGAATATGATATGGATGTTTTTGGCTAAACGAGCAAATGATATTATTATGTTGGTTGGAGTTTAGAAAATTTTAATTGGTCAAATGAAGCTTTATTATTATAGTTTAGTTACTTTTGCCTTGGTGATGGGTCCAGTGCCTAGCTAGCATTTATCATCGGCTCACGTCAGGTCTTGAGTCTTAGGGCGGGATGTGTCAAATAGAAACAAGAAGTATGGATGATGAATTTAGAAAGAATATATTACCAAAAATATTAGAAGATGAAGAATTTAGAGAAAAATCATTAGGAAAATTAAAAGTAGAAGAAAAAGAAGATGAATGAAGAATTAAATTTGCTAATAGAAAATTTTGATCAATTAAGTTTAACTGATATAAGTGAATATCAAATTTTAATGAATATTGAAGGAGGGCCTAATCCAGCAGAAACCTCTAAACATGAATTACACGATACAGATAAAAGTTATGCACCTATATTTAATAAATCATATAAACAATACTATGATAAAGTAAGAGATGGACAACCACCTAAAGGAAATAAATATAAAGATATGTTTGAATTAAATGATAATTATGATAAATCAATTAATCATGGAGGAACAAAACTAGATTTAAATTGTAAAATAGATACTAAAAAAACCTTATTAACTTGGGCAGATTCAATGAGATTATTCTTTTTATATAATAAAGATGACACATGGAAAATTACTGAAAGAAGAATAGATTTTTTAATAGCATCCTTTGAAGGAGATATTAGAAATTTGTGGGAAGGAATAAACAATTACACAAAAACATTAATAAAAAGAAATGTACAAACAGAAATAATCAAGTCAGATAGACAAGATATAGAAAAATTAGTAGAATATATTTCAGATGAGTTTCTAGGAGAAAATTAGATAAAAAATGCTAAAGGATAATTAATAAGAGAAAAAGATCGTGCTAGAATAAAATTAATAAATTTAACAATATGTGATATGTGTAAAATTAAATAATATACTTGTGAATTTAAAAATTATTATTATGTTCAATTTTATAGTAATGAAAATCAAGAAGTATACCAAAACATGTATTATAATAAGTTACCAGGTTCATGGAGAATATATTTTAAAATAAAATTTGAAAAATATGTTAGGGATAATATTGGAATATTTAGAACTTTAAGTTCAAAAATAAAATTTTTATTTGAAAGATTTGCATACATATGTCAACAAAGACAATTAATGAAAAAATCAGAAAAATTAACTAAAATATGTTATGAAGACATGGAAACCCCTGTGCAATGGGGATGTAATCCTGAAAGAAAAATAAAAGAAAGTATAAAAATAAAAAGTTTAAAAAATTTAGAAATTTTAATATAAAAAAATTTTAGAAATAAAAGATGAATTAAGTGAAATATCAGATATTGAAAAATACTATGATCAAGAAGTATATATAAGTGAAACAGAAGATGAATCGGATCTGAATAGAGAAATTGAAGAAATAGAAAGTAATAACATAAATATATAAGAATATGAAGGAATAGACGGATATAGATTAAAAGTCACTTTTGATAACAACAAATTTAGAAAATTGTAAAAATTATCGTTAGACTTAAAAATATGAAAATGAGAAGTCTTTGACAGAATTTGGAAAAAAGAAAGAATTGCAATAAATGAATATCACAAAATAGAAAAAACTATAGATGTAAGGACAACTTATGGGCAACATAAATTAAATCTTTTAACAAAAAATACAGTGAAAGAACTATTAACAAAGATCAGTAAAAAAACAAAGTGAAAAAAATTCAATATGTTTATCTAGTAGAAATACAAATAATGTTTAAATCACTATTTAGAGAAGTGATAGATTCACCTTTAATTATAACTTTACATGATGGAAGAATAATAAACTTAAAAGATAGTCATTTAGGAACAATAGAAGGTAATTTAGCATATCAAAAAATTATGTTTACATGTTATCCAAAATATTGTGTATCACTAAAAGATAGAAATTTTAATGAAGTTTTAGGACTACATTTTAAATTTCATAAAGTGATATCATGCAACTAGGTGATTAAATTATGACTATAGAATATAGAGCTTTATATACATTTACTAATTCTAATAATGGAAATATTTATTTCAATAAACCATATATTGAAATTCATAAAGAATGTAAAAATATTAGTAAAATAATATAACCAAATAAACAAATAAGTTTAATTCCAGAAGAATATGAATTTGATATAACAAAAAATAAACTTGAAATAACAGAATTAAATGAAGAAGAATGTTCTAATAATATCATTTTTAAGGATGAAAAATTAATTAAAAGATCAAAAAATTTTAAAATACTTAATAAAAACCAATTAGAAGAAATCAACAAAATAAAAAGAAGTAAAATTATATAGGAATGCTGGAAACATGAAAATAGAAGGAGAATATTATAATGGAAGAAAAAATATAAATGAACCAAATATATTAATAGATACAGGAGCTAGTGAATATCATATAGCCTCAATAAGGAATAAAGGTCTAATGACTCATAAAACTGAACCATATATGTAAATTTTGATAAACAAGTACATATTACAGATTTAGAAGTTAAGGTACCAAAAAAAATAGGAGGAATAGATCTTTTAGTACCATGTTACATAGATAAGAGTATGGATATAAATCACCATATACTTTTGGAAATGAGTTTTCTAAATGAATTAGAAGATTATAGTATAAAAAGATAAGGATTATATATTGTTCACAATGGACAAACTACATTATATAAAAAGAATTAGATGAATAATCAGATAAGTTTTTCATTAGCTGTATATATACAAATTACTATTGTAGAAACAAATATAACAACTTGTACTTTAATAGATACATGAAATGATATAACAATATTTAAAAGTTTTTTAATAAAATCATTGAATAATAATAGTAATATAAAAATAACTGAATTTACAGGAAAAAGTACTCAAATAATTAATAGTGCTGATAAAGTCAATATAATTCTTGGAAGTAAACAAGTAATAATAAATAAAATTTATAAATATGAAAAATTAGAATGTGATATATTATTAGGAAATGATTTCATACAACAATTTCAATATTATAAACAAAATAATTATATGATAATTCTACAAACACCTTGTGGACATTTATTAAAAATTCCTAGAGAATTTAAACCTTACAGAGTTTAACCAGCTCAACGTGGTGATAAATGGGAGAAAAAATCAATTATATTTAATGAAATAAAAAATAAAAAAATACTATATAAAAAGGTTCTAAAAACATGAATAGAAATAAATATAGAAAAAATCATTGAACAACTAGAAAAAGTTTACGGAGAAAATTCATTATTATTTTGGAAACCACATCACCCAAAAACCAAAATAGAATTAACATAAAATGTTATAATAAGAGTTAGACCAATGATGTATACGATAGAAGATACACAAGAATTTAAAAATTAGATAAAAGAATTGTTAGAATAAAAACTTATTAGACCTAGTAATGGATCTCATAGTAGTCCAACCTTTATGATTATAAAACATTCTGAATAAGTTAGAGGAAAAGTTATGATGGTCATAAATTATAAAGAATCAAACAAATATACTAAATTTGATGGTTACTTTCTACCAAATAAAGAAGTGTTAATAAATCTTGCAAGAGGGAAACAATATTATTCTAAATTTGATTGTAAATCAGGATTTTGGCAAATAAAAATGGAAGAAGATAGTATACAATATACTGCATTTGGCACACCTCAAGGAAAATATGGATGGTTAGTTATGTCATTTGGTCTAAAAAATGCACCACAAATATATCAAAGAAAGATGGATAATATATTTAAAAAGTTTTAATGAATTTCTAATTGTTTATATAGATGATATATTAACATGTTTTAATAGTAAAGAGGAACATAGAAATCATTTAATTTAATTTATTAAAGAATGTAAAAAAGAAGGAATTTATTATCTAAAAAGAAATCTATAATAGAAAAACAAGAGATAGACTTTCTTGGATTATTGATAGATAAAAAGGGATAAAATTATAGATTCATATATCCAAAAAGATAGAAAGTTTTTCAGATAAATTAGAATCCAAAAAACAAATTCAAAAATTTTTAGGATGTTTAAACTATGCAGAAGGATTTATTGAAAATCTTTCTAAGAAAAGACATAAAATCTAAGTTTTCCTGAGAAAAACAAATACTAAATGATGGAATGAAGAACATATAGAAATAGTTAAATCATTAAAAGAAGAATGCAAAAATTTACCAAAATTAAAATTACCAAATGAAAAAAATAATTTGATTGTTAATACAGATGCCTCGGATAAATATTGGGCAGCAATATTAAAAACAGATCTAAATGAAATTTGTAGATATTCAAGTGGAACCTTTAACCAAATAGAAATAAATTATACTACTTATGAAAAAAAATTACTAGCAATTATTAAAGGAATAAAAAAGTTCTCAGTATTCTTATTGTCCAAAAAATTTATTGTTGAAACTAATAATTCTCAAGTTGTAGGATTAGTCAAGAATAAATTACCATCAGAACCTCAATACAGAAGGCTTCATAGATGACAAGCTTATTTAGTATTTTATAATTTTGATATTAAATGAGTTAATATTTTTCTTGCAGATTTTCTCAGCAGAAACATAGAATTTGCTGATGGATAAAGACAAGGTCATGGAATTATACCCATCTATCCTACATATACAAAAAAATGATAAATTTTCTTAAAGAAGAATCCGAAAATATAAACTCTGGAGCAACCCAGATTTTAGAGATGTTCAACTCAAATATAAAAATACTGTTGAATACCACTACTGAGCATCATAAATATGCTATAGAACTCAAAAATCAAGTTGATACTATTGTAGCACAACTAAAAGATATACTGTTTGAGACAGATATACCAAAGAGCTCAGAAATGAGTTTTCCAAACCAATACCAAATAGGGATAGTTGGAAGCAGCAGTGGACCCAGACGTGACAATATACTAATTGATAATAAAGG